AGAAAAGGGAAATTATTTCCACTTTCCGAGAATTCAAAAATTGATATGCAAAAATTTTCTACAAATTTAATACCACATAATCATGTATTAGAATAAAAAAAGTGACATATTAGAATCAAACTCAGTTTTTTAGAAAACGTTAGTGTACAATTCTGATTTTTTGCGAAAATCTGAATGTTAAAAACTCAAGGCGGATTCATAAAGTACAAGTATAGGAGTACTTTGTAAAATTTAAATAGTATTTACCACGCAAAATTGTGAGATGACGTCATCAAATTATTGTAAATTATTAGGTAAATGTTGTTAACGTTTTACCGTTTACATGAAATTCTGAAATACAGGGTGAGTCAGCTAAAAGGGGACTCCTCGAATAATTTTTAATTATTGAATGAAATACCATCCAAACTTTTTAGATTTTGCTGTTTTTTACTTCAAAAAAAAAAAGTAAAAACCAGGTTTAACTTCACTACTAATTAATTTTCTGAAAGCAAATAAAACGTATCAAAAATAATAAATATTAAACTTTGCAGAGTATTTTTTTTCTCAATTTTATAGTAAAATAAAATTCAGATATATTAAAAAAAATGTAAATTCTGTTAACATACTTTCATAAATCAAAACAATATTTGAGGTGTCCTCTTTCAGCTAACTCACCTGTACATTTAAAAGTTGACAAGAATCAGTCCAGTAGTTTTGGAAAATATCTGTTTAATAAAAATCAACACAGACGATATACAGGCAGACAGAAACGGGAGACCAAATTTTTTATACTCTTGAATTTATTAAATGTCGAGAAAAACGCTCGGAAGTAAAAACTATTGATTTTTTAACAAAAAAGTTAACCTAATTATCTTAAAATAATAATAATAAAAATTGTTTTTTTTTTACTTTTAAAGTGATGTAGTATTTAGTGTGGAACACGTTTGATTTAATATTAAAAAAAATCAATCAAAAGGTCTCGCTTATTTGAAAAAACAGAAATCTGAAATTTGGAACCGTATATTAAAAAAAAAAAAACAAAAAAAAACCTACAAAACAGGCGATTTTCAGCTGATTTTTTTTTTGTAAATTTTGCATAATTAAATACTGAAAAGAATCAGTTAAAAAGTAGGTAGTTCCATTAAGAAAAGGGAAATTATTTCCACTTTCCGAGAATTCAAAAATTGATATGCAAAAATTATCTACAAAATTAATACCACATAATCATGTATTAGAATAAAAAAAGTGACATATTAGAATCAAACTCAGTTTTTTAGAAAACGTTATTGTACAATTCTGATTTTTTGCGAAAATCTGGATGTTAGAAACTCAAGGCGGATTCATAAACTACAAGTATAGGAGTACTTTGTAAAATTTAAATAGTATTTACCACGCAAAATTGTGAGATGACGTCATCAAATTATTGTAAATTATTAGGTAAATGTTGTTAACGTTTTACCGTTTACATGAAATTCTGAAATACAGGGTGAGTCAGCTAAAAGGGGACTCCTCGAATAATTTTTATTTATTGATTGAAATACCATCCAAACTTTTTAGGTTTTGCTGTTTTTCAGATATATTAAAAAAAAATGTAAATTCTGTTACATAGTTTCATAAATTAAAACAATATTTGAGGTGTCCTCTTTCAGCTAACTCACCTGTACATTTAAAATTTGACAAGAATCAGTCCAGCAGTTTTGGAAAATATCTGTTTAATAAAAATCGACACAGACGACATACAGGCAGACAAAAACGGGAGACCAATTTTTTATACTCTAGAATTTATGAAATGTTGAGAAAAAACAAAAGTTTTTTTTTATATTACAATACTTCCATAGTTAACGCTCGGAAGTAAAAACTATTGATTTTTTAACAGAAAAATTAACCCAATTATCTTAAAATAATAACAATAAAAATTGTTTTTTTTTACTTTTAAAGTGATGTAGTACTTAGTGTGGAACACGTTTGATTTAATATTAAAAAAAAAAAAATCAATCAAAAGGTCTGACTTATTTGAAAAAACAGAAGTTGAAATTTGGAACCGTATAATTAAAAACTACGAAACAGGCGATTTTCAACTGATTCTTTTTTGTAAATTTTGCATAACTAAATACTGAAAAGAATCAGTTAAATGTAGGTAGTTCCAATAAGAAAAGGGAAATTATTTCCACTTTCCGAGAATTCAAAAGTGATGTGTAAAAATTCTCTAAAAAATTAATATCACATAATCATAAATTACAATAAAAAAAGTGACATATTATTAGATAGCACTTAAAGTACAATCAAACTCAGTTTTTTAGAAAACGTAATTGTACAATTCTGATTTTTTGCGAAAATCTGGATGTTAAAAACTCAAGGCGGATTCATAAACCACAAGTATAGGAGTACTTTGTATAATTTAAATAGTATTTACCACGCAAAATTGTGAGGTGACGTCTTCAAATTATTGTAAATTATTAGGTAAATGTTGTTTACGTTTCATCGTTTATATGAAATTCTGAAATACAGGGTGAGTCAGCTAAAAGGGGACTCCTCGAATAATTTTTATTTATGAGTAAAGTAAATTATAAGTAAAAAACAGGTTTAAATTCACTATTAATTAATTTTCTGAAAGCAAATAAAACGTATCAAAAGTAATAAATATTAAACTTTGCAGAGTTTTTTTTTTCTCAATTTTATAGTAAAATAAAACTCAGATATATTAAAAAAAATGTAAATTCTGTTAACATAGTTTCATAAATTAAAACAGTATTTGAGGTGTCCTCTTTTAGCTAACTCACCTGTACATTTAAAATTTGACAAGAATCAGTCCAGCAGTTTTGGAAAATATCTCTTTAATAAAAATCGACACAGACGACATACAGGCAGACAGAAACGGGAGACCAATTTTTTATACTCTAGAATTTATGAAATGTCGAGAAAAGACAAAAGTTTTTTTTTATATTACAATACTTCCTTAGTTTACGCTCGGAAGTAAAAACTATTGATTTTTTAACAGAAAAATTAACCCAATTATCTTAAAATAATAATAAAAATTGTTTTTTTACTTTTAAAGTGATGTATTACTTAGTGTGGAACACGTTTGATTTAATATAAAAAAAAAAAAATCAATCAAAAGGTCTCACTTATTTGAAAAAACAGGAGTCTGAAATTTGGAACAAACTACGAAACAGGCGATTTTCAACTGATTTTTTTTTTGTAAATTTTGCATAACTAAATACTGAAAAGAAACAGTTAAAAAATAGGTAATTCCATTAAGAAAAGGGAAATTATTTCCACTTTCCGCAAATTCCAAAGTGATGTGTAAAAATTATCTACAAAATTAATATCACATAATCATGTATTAGAATAAAAAAGTGACATATTATTAAACAGCACTTAAAGTACAATCAAACTCAGTTTTTTAGAAAACGTTATTGTACAATTCTGATTTTTTGCGAAAATCTGGATGCTAAAAACTCAAGGCGGATTCATAAACCACAAGTATAGGAGTACTTTGTAAAATTTAAATAGTATTTACCACGCAAAATTGTGAGGTGACGTCATCAAATTATTGTAAATTTTTAGGTAAATATTGTTAACGTTTTACCGTTGATATGCAATTCTGAAATATAGGGTGAGTCAGCTAAAAGGGGACTCCTCGAATAATTTTTATTTATGAGTAAAGTAAAAGTATAAGTAAAAAACAGGTTTAACTCCACTATTAATTAATTTTATGAAAGCAAATAAAACGTATCAAAAGTAATAAATATTAAACTTTGCAGAGTATTTTTTTCTCAATTTTATAGTAAAGTAAAATTCAGATATATTAAAAAATATATAAATTCAGTTAACATAGTTTCATAATATAAAACAATATTCGAGGAGTCCTCTTTTAGGTAACTCACCTGTACATTTAAAATTTGACAAGAATCGGTCCAGTAGTTTTAGAAAATATCTATTTAATAAAAATCAACACAAACGACGTACAGGCAAACAGAAACGGGAGACCAATTTCTTATATTCTAGAATTCATGAAATGTCGAGAAAAAATGAAAGATTTTTTTATATATCACAATACTTCCTTAGTTTACACTCGGAATTAAAAACTATTGATTTTTTTTACAGAAAAATTTAACCAATTTATCTTAAAATAAAAAAAAATCGTATTTTCCAAGTAAACTGCGTTGGTAAATTAAAAAAAAAAAACGCTGCTAATTTCGGCGAGGATTTCGTTCCAGGGTTACATAGTGACAACCTACCACTAGAAATATGTGACTTACAAACACAATTTATGTTTGTTGTGGTCTTTAGTATAATAAATTTTTCCGAGAGGCGGCTTAAATAGTGGGTAACACGTTTTTGCGTAAGCGGCACATTCGATTTGAATAAAAATAATTAATTTGGGCATTATATTCCTGTCTGTGATCAATTTGTTTAATTAAAGTGTTCAAAGGAAAATACGTAATTGGTCTTTTTTAAAGCTCAAGCTATGTAGTAAAATGATGTCATTCACTAAACAATAAAGTGAATTATTTTTCTGATTATAAAAACAACCGGAACGAAATTATTAGTTCCGGATTTCTACGGTTACGAATAATAAACAAAGGTGTTCTTCTGTATGTTATGTAACTTTCAAGGTGAATATCTTCGTTAATAAAATAACTATATATAGGCTGGTCTTGAAATAAAAGTTGCATCCAATTTTTGATCAGAACATAACACAATACACAAAAATGTGTAATAAAATATTTTTTTAATGTATATTAGTATATTCTTTGACGCAATAAGAATGACTACACGATCTGATAGTGGTTGTCAAGTTTGTAGTGCACTTATTCGTGACCACCTGTATATACATTTAATCCCCACAGAAGTGAAAGGATGTACACGTTACATAATGCAACTTTTGTAGCGATTGCAATAAAATTTTAGATACAGTGTGTGTACAGTTTACGTGGCTTGATGTTACCCAACACCAGTGTTTGTCAAAATGAAAATCTCTGACCCTTATTAACCCTAGTGACATATGATAAGATTACCGTCTCATTTCCAAATAGTAGATCAATATAAGGCATGACTTGCATCAGAGGCTCTTTGTACAGTTGCGAAACAAACGGTGCACTGAGATTCATAATAAAGGGGCGATCATTAGCTAAAGCGTGTTTAGCAGTTTCTAGAATGGTTGGAGGACTCACGGTGAGGAAGAAACCCTGCAAAATCTCAAAATCAACAACACTCTTCTACAAAACACACACCTCACCGAAATATAGAAATACTGTGCCCCCTCAATCAGCTTGCGATTCGCCGGATTCTTAATATGATCAATCGTGAAGCAATTCGCAGCCCCCAAATCCGCACACAGCGACCTGTTCGGGCCAGTGATCAAGACGGCACACGTGCCGGTAGGAACTGTGTCATTCAACTGATAAATCACATTAACTCCTTCACTCTGCGCCCCCTCTTTCAAAATCTGGGAATACTTGTCGGTGCCGACGCACCCGAAAAACGTTGTCACTCGGGGCTTTTCCAGCAGCCATTGGGCTACTCGGAGCGTGTTCTGGACGCTGCCCCCAGCGATGAATTCGGCTTTGTATTGATCAATCAGGTCGCCGGTGAGGTTCTTGTGGCTTTCGTCCGCTAAGATCGCGTTGTTTTCTTTCATGTTGTATTTCTGGAGGAACTGTTTGTCGACGTTGGCGGAGATGTCGAGCAAGGGGTTGCCCATGCCGAGGAGCAAGTTTTCTCTGGAATGGGAGTTTTTATGGGTTTTTACGCGGTGGTCAACGTACCTTAGGTTTTCGCCTTGCATTTTTTTTGCCAGGTTGTTTACGAGGTGATTTTGGGGTGTTTGTTGGAAGAACGTGGGGACTTCGGACATAACCTTTATTTAGATAGGTCGGCGTGACATCAACTACGAAGCTTGCGTGTGTGTGGCTCATTAAATATCATTATGGTTACAAAACCATTGGGCTTTTATTTATAGATTATTTGTTGACTACTTATAGAGATAATGAATATTTAATGAGGTGGCCCAAAACGTAATATTGGTTTAAAAGGGAGATTTTAAGTTTGGCGGGCAGGGGGCGATAGTTGACAACGCAGATGGGTTGGTAGCACTGCAGAAATTATTTTTTTGGAAATTATGTATCAATTAACGTTTTATTTAAATGACAGTCCTTGCGAATTAATTGCTGAATAATATTTATATTTAGTTAGTTTTTTACGCTCTAAAAATTGTAGCTCAGGATGCCAACAAGAGAAGTTAATTTCACCAGTATTTCAAATTGCGTTAGTGTTTTACATTTTGGCATTTTCAAATTCTATTTATTTATAACCAGTTTATTTTCATGGGGTGATGTTTCGTTACATCCAAGCACCTGCATAATTTTAATAAACTGGATTTTCCTAGGTAACTATCTCAGCTGAAGCTGGTTCTTAAAATTCAACAAAACTTGAACCACTACTTTAAAATTTATGAATTTGATCCTTGGTCCTGATTTTTGAGTTTCAGAAAACAACGACGTGTCTAAATTGTAAACAAAATTTTACGTTTTACGGCTTTATGTAATTTTTCAGAATATTACATATTAAAATAATAATAATAACAAAATAGTGCCACTATAGAATAACAATTTCAGCATAAGTATTTGCTTGAATAGAATTATTTATTTATTGTTTTGAGAGGTTAATTACTTTCAAGACTGCGTATAATAGGTAAATTAATTTCATTTCTCTATATGTAGTCGGAAAATAATTCCACCAACTCCAATATATTCCTATACCTAATTCTGTGTGAAGTCAAATTAATTCCACTTCAATTAATTTAGTAATATATGGTATATAATTGGTAATTTTAATTACATTAGCAGTTTTCTCAAAAGGTTCCATTAAATCGAAAAAAGAAAATCTCACAAAAAATTATTATCAATCTTAAAAATAATTGTTAAAATTTTGTACAGTTCGGTAAAAAAATTTGAATAGTTTCCATGAATAAAAAAAATGTTCAAAAGTGCTAAAAATGGACACAGTCCGAATTGATGAAGCCATCAAAAATTAAATAAATGAATGAATAAATAAATGACTAAATAAATAAATAAGCAAAATAAAAATTTCATTTTTAAAAAAGTTGTCTAAAAATTGTGAAAAAATTTAGGGACATAGATCTCGACATACTGATTTCAAAAATATAGTGTGTTGTTAGTCATGGAGCAACATTTTCGAAAGAATCGGTACGAAATGCGAATTTTTTAAAATTTCTAAAAATTTCGATATTTCAACAGTCGATTCCGGAAAAACGGTTGCAGTTATCAAAGAAACGAGGCCCGAAGTGAGTTCTAGAGCTCGAAATTTACAAGAAAATTTATTTAGTTAAGTTTCGAAGATGTCAAAATTTGACCGAAATTTGAAAAATTGAAAAAAATTCACTTTTAAAAAAGTTGTCTGAAAATTGTGAAAAAATTCAGGGACATAGATCTCGACATGCTGATTTCAAAAATATAGTGTGTTGTTGATCATGGAGTAACATTTTCGAAAGAATCGGTATAAAATGCGAATTTTTGAAAATTTATAAAAATTTCGATATTTCAGAGGTCGATTCTGAAGAAACGGTTGCACCTATCAAGGAAATGAGGCCGGAAATGAGTTCTAGAGCTCGAAATCTGCAAGAAAATGTGTTTAGTTAAGTTTCGAAAATGCCAAAATTTGGTCCAAATTTGAAAAACTGAAAAAATTTCAATTTTAAAAAAGTTGTCTGAAAATTGTAAAAAAATTTAGGGACGTAGATCTCGACATACTGATTCCAAAAATATAGAGTATTGATGGTCAAGGGGCAATATTTTCGAAAGAAACGTAACGAAATGCGAATATTTGAAGATTTCTAAAAATTTCGATAATTCAGCGGTCGACCCTGGAAAAACGGTTGCAGTTATCAAAGAAACGAGGCCGGAGCTGAGTTCTAGAGCTCGAAATTTACAAGAAAATGTATTTAGATAAATTTCGAAATTGTCAAAAATTGGCCGAAATTTGATAAAAAATTTCATTTTTAAAAAAGTTGTCTAAAAATTGTGAAAAAATTCAGGGACATAGATCTCGACATGCTGATTTCAAAAATATAGTGTGTTGTTGGTCATGGAGCAGCATTTTTGAAAAAATCGGTACGAAATGCGAATTTTTGAAAATTTCTAAAAATTTCGATATTTCAACGGTCGATTCCGGAAAAAGGGTTGCACTTATCAAAGAAATGAGGCCGGAAATGAGTTCTAGAGCTCGAAATCTACAAGAAAATATGTTTAGTTAAGTTTCGAAAATGTTAAAAGTTGGCCGAAATTTGAATAAAGGGAGACCATTGAAAAATTTAATTTTTAAAAAACTTGTCTAACAATTGTGAAAAAATTCAGAGACACTGATCTCGACATGCTAATCCCAAAAATATAGTGTGTCGATAGTCACGGAGCAAAATTTTCAAAGAATTGGTACGAAATGCGAATTTTTGAAAATTTCTTAAAATTTCGATATTTCAGCGGTGTATTCCTGAAAAACGGTTGCAGTTATCAAAGAAACGAGGCCGGAAGTGAGTTCTAGAACTCGAAATCTACAAGAAAATATATTGTGTTTAGTTAAGTTTCGAAAATGTCAAAAATTGTGTCCGAAATTTAAATTACGGGGGACCAATGAAAAAATTTCATTTTTAAAAAAGTTGTCTAAAAATTGTGAAAAAATTCAGGGACATAGATCTCGACATGCTGATTTCAAAAATATAGTGTGTTGTTGGTCATGGAGAAACATTTTCGAAAAAATCAGTTAGAAATGCGAATTTTTGAAAATTTCTGAAAATTTCGATATTTCAACGGTCGATTCCGGAAAAGCTATTGGAGTTATCAAAAAAATGTGGCCCGAAGAGAATTATAGAACTCCAAATCTACAAGAAAATGTATTTAGTTAAGTTTCCAAAATGTCAAAATTTGGTCCAAATTTGAAAAACTGAAAAAATTTCAATTTTAAAAAAGTTGTCTGAAAATTGTGAAAAAATTTAGGGACGTAGATCTCGACATACTGATTCCAAAAATATAGAGTATTGATGGTCAAGGGGCAATATTTTCTAAAGAAACGTAACGAAATGCGAATATTTGAAGATTTCTAAAAATTTCGATAATTCAGCGGTCGACCCTGGAAAAACGGTTGCAGTTATCAAAGAAACGAGGCCGGAAGTGAGTTCTAGAGCTCGAAATCTACAAGAAAATGTGTTTAATTAAGTTTCTAAAATGTCAAAAATTGGCCGAAATTTGAAGAAGGAGGGACCATTGAAAAAATTTCATTTTTAAGAAAGTTGTCTAAAAATTACGAAAAAATTCAGAGATGTAGATCTCGACATGCTGATTCCAAAAATATAGCATGTTGATGGCCACGGAGCAACATTTTCGAAAGAATCGATACGAACTGCGATTTTTTGAAAATTTCTAAAAATTTCGATATTTCGACGGTCGATTCCGGAACAAGGGTTGCACTTATCAAAGAAATGAGGTCCGAAGTGAGTTCTAGAGCTCGAAATTTACAAGAAAATGTATTTAGTTAAGTTTCGAAAATGTCGAAAATTGGCCGAAATTTGAAGAAGCGGGGACCATTGAAAAAATTTCACTTTTAAAAAAGTTGTCTGAAAATTGTGAAAAAATTTAGAGACGTAGATCTCGACATGCTGATTCCAAAAATATTAGCATGTTGATGGTCGTGGAGCAACATTTTCGAATTAATTGGTACGAAATGCGAATTTTTGAAAATTTCTAAAAATTTCGTTATTTCAACCGTCGATTCTGGAAAAACGGTTGCACTTTTCAAAAAAATGAGGCCGGAAATGAGTTCTAGAGCTCGAAATCGACAAGAAAATGTGTTTAGTCAAGTTTCGAAAATGTCAAAAATTGGCCGAAATTTGAAAAAATTTTATTTTTAAAAAAGTTGTTTAAAAATTACGAAAAAATTCAGGGACGTAGATCTCGACATGCTGATTCCAAAAATATAGTGTGTTGATGGTCATAGAGCAACATTTTCGAAATAATCGGTACGAAATGCGAATATTTGAAAATTTCTTAAAATTTCGATATTTCAACGGCCGATTCCGGAAAAACAGTTGCAGTTATCAAAGAAACGAGGCCCGAAGTGAGTTCTAGAGCTCGAAATTTACAAGAAAATGTATTTAGTTAAGTTTCGAAAATGTCAAAAGTTGGCCGAAATTTGAAGAAGCGGGGACCATTGAAAAAATTTCACTTTTAAAAAAGTACTCTAAAAATTGCGAAAAAATTCAAACATGTAGATCTCCACATGCTGATTTCAAAAATATAGTGTGTTGATGGTCACGGAGCAACATTGTCGAAAAAGTCGGTACGAAATGCGAATTTTTGAAAATTTCTAAAAATTTCGATATTTCAACGGTCGATTCTGGAAAAACTGTTGGGGTTATCAAAAAAACGAGGCCCGAAGTGACTTCTAGAGCTCGAAATCTAGCAGAAAATGTGTTTAGTTAAGTTTTGAAAATGTCAAAATTTGGCCGAAATTTGAAAAATTGAAAAAATTTCGCTTTTAAGAAAGTTGTCTGAAAATTAAAAAAAAATTCAGGGACGTAGATCTCGACATGCTGATTCCAAAAATATAGCGTGTTGATGGTAATGGAGCAATATTTTCGAAAAATTTGGTGTGAAATTCGAATTTTTCGAAATTTTTAAAAACTGCGAAATTTCAATAGACAATTCTAGATAAACGTTTTAAGTTATCTAAGAAATGAAACCAGAAGTGACTTCTGCGGCCCAAAATCTACAAGAAAATGTATTTAGTTAAATTTCGGCTATAAAAATTCGATTTAAATAAATTACCCATAAAAGGAAAATAAAAAAAAAACGCCCAAAAAGGACGACAAAAGACGAAAAAGGCGAGAAAAAACAAAAAAGTCGATAAAAAGGATGTAAAACAGCGCGACAAATATAGGTGATATAAAGTCCCTAATGAAAATTCTAAAACGAACGTGAAAAAAGGCCTTAAAAAATATAAAAAAAAACCGACAAAATACTGTACAA